AATAAAATAAGTTGGTTCCCACAACTCAACACAAAAATTTCGAACAAAATTCGAAATTTAGCAGATCATCTTTTGTTAGCATGACTGTAAAATTTGAATTGAATTTTTGATAAGCACATATTTGAAGAAGAGGCTAAGATCCTTAAGAAAAATGTTCTAAAATTGAAGCGATGGATGGATTGATGGTTACTTAAATGGATTGAAATGGATGGATTATAAGTTAATTAAGTACAAAATTTTGACCAAATCTCCCATGAGAACAAAATAGTGATTTTAGAACACCGCTGTCGAAAGCTTCCGCAGCTATCCGATAACAATGGCTCATCAATCAAAGACTTTAAACAAGTCGTGGCACAACTCCGATGCTCAAAGATCCATCACTGCCGCTGCAAAACTCCAATGAAGCTGTCAATCATGAGACTAAGCTGCGTGACAGCGCGCGTGTAATTATGAAGCATGGCTGGGATTTTTATAGCCTAGCCACACCGCATAATTTCATACTTTTTATTTCATTTGATTCATTTTTATATGAACGATTGTTGTTGTTTCGTCGCCGGAAATGACGGAGGCGTAAGTAATGAAAATTCCCCCAGCTGAACTTTATAATTTCAACTTGTGAAAAAGCAAGCCTTTTTTAAATTGTATTCATTTATTATTGTGTATTTATTTATCTATCTACTTGAATTGATTCACACGTTATAATGTTATAAAAATTCTTATAAATAGTAAACCATGAAAAAGACGTTTTTTAAGATAGTTGCCGTAGAAAATTGTTAACAGCGACAGATGCGATACTACGGGAGGAAATATGTATGATAAACTATGTAATGAGCGACATATGAAACTTTGGTGTGCCTTTTATTGATATAAATTAAAGAGAGATCCAAGTTTTCAATACTGTACATTCATTCCGTTTTATTATTTGATATTCTAAACCATTGTAGAAGTATAATTATGAATATTTAACAAAATAATATTCTATGTTATAAGTATAGTATAGTATAGTATCTTCGGCATTGAAGCAGATAGGATTCTTGTCGCCGATTCTTGTACTTTTCTTAACTAGACTGGCCTTTTGATCATACTGTATCTTTTCAACGGACGGTAGATTTAAAATCGCTTCTAGATTTCAGTTGTTCCGTAGGATACGAGGCATTTTAAGACTAAACATATGCTCCTGCATGGCCTTGTCTAGTCTGTTCTTAAACGCGTTCATACTCGGAACGTCAACAATATCTTCAGGGAGGCTGTTCCACATGTCGATGACTTGAAGCGAGAAGAAATGTTGTCGCGTGGATAAGTTGCACCGCAGTTTTTTTAGTTTATTGCTGTGGCCCCTGGTGTTGGCTCTTGTTTCAAATTCTAGTAATCCTTCTGGGACCTTGTACAAACCATGAGTACACTTGTATACTTCAATGAGGTCACCACGCAGGCGACGATAACAGAGACTGGGAAGCTTCATAATCTTCAATCTTTCTTCATATGACTTGCCCTTTAAGCCTGGAATTATCCTTGTTGTACGTCTTTGAACATTCTCTATTAAATTTTGGTCTTTTTCAAGTCTCGGTGACCACACAACGTTTCCAAACTCTAGGTTCGGACGCACGACAGAGGTGAATAACAGCTTCATAATTTCTTGTATATCTAGATACTCGTAGGAGCGTCTGATCGGCCCAAGCAGTTTATTGGATTTACTGTATTAACTTGCGTTTCAATATGCCTAGAAAATTTTAGATCCTTGTCGACCCAAACTCCAAGATCTTTTTCAACACAAGACTTCTCAATCATAACCCTCTCGTTGCAACCATGTCTTCTCATGCTGTAAGCTTGCTGTTCATTGTTCTTGCCGAGGTGAAGTACTTTACACTTGTCAGCATTGAAACACAGCTGCCACGCATCAGCCCAGTCAACTAAACTATCAAGATCATTTTGCAGTTGTATTTTGTTTGACGCATCCTTAACTGTATTATAAACTTTTGTGTCATCGGCATACATGGAGCACACGCTTGACACTACTTTTGGTAGATCGTTTATGAAAGCGACAAACAAAACAGGCCCAAGAACGCTTCCTTGCGGTACGCCACTGCGCACAGTTACCCAGTCTGATACGGTTCCGATAATGCTAATACGTTGTCTTCTGCCTACTAGGAAATTCCTGATCCATTGGAGTACATTTCCCTCTATTCCCAAAGAATTCACTTTACGTAACAGTCGCTCATGCGGAACACTATCAAATGCCTTGGCAAAATCGAGGTACAATGCATCCTCTGGCACCCTTTCGTCCAGCAGGCGCGTCCAATTATTCAGGGTCGACAGGAGATTAGTTGTGCATGATCTGCCAGCAATAAAGCCTAACTAAGAAGTTAGGCTTTATTGCCTAACATAATAACAAATAAACTAAAATAAACAACTAAATAACAACTAAATCCTAATAACTAAGAAGTTAGGCTCCACTATTTTTTGTTTACCTTACAAAAGTTTTGAAGGTTTCTGGCAAACTCCCAAGAAATCAATTTATTCAGTTTCAAGGCAACAATATTTCTTCCATAAATTAGCAGGAAATTAGTAAGTCTTATAAAGATCGGGATCTTTTAGCGAATTGCTGATGGAGAAGCTGTCGCATCATGACGGTAGAGGCTTCAGCATCTCTGTGGGTGTGCGTGTGGAGATCATGACGATGTGTGTGGAGATCATGACGATGTGTGTGGAGATCATGACGATGTGTGTGGAGATCATGACGATGCGTGTGGAGATCATGACGATGTGTGTGGAGATCATGACGATGTGTGTGGAGATCATGACGATGTGTGTGGAGATCATGACGATGGGTGTGGAGATCATGACGATGTGTGTGGAGATCATGACGATGTGTGTGGAGATCATGACGATGTGTGTGGAGATCATGACGATGTGTGTGGAGATCATGACGGTGTGTGTGGAGATCATCACGATGTGTGTGGAGATCATGACGATGCGTGTGGAGATCATGATGATGCGTGTCCATGCTGGTGCGCTGGGTACTCATCCAACGTATTCTTATCACTATAGCCGGAAATGACAAAACTTATGCCTATCAAAATTTACTTTACAAAGTTGCAGGACTCGCTGCTGTATATTTCGAAAAATTGAATGTACATTCAGAAACGTTGCGCCTAATTTTCTTGATTATTTTGTATTGAATCAAATCATCGGACGATATTTATTCAATAGCAGAATAAGCCTGTATTATAAACCTCCACCCGACACCTGAAATGTACTGATAATCACATACGTTAGCATAGTAACCTCGTTGTAAGATTACAGCGACAAGGCGAAAGTGGTCGCCACCTATGCCGCTCAGCCAATCAGAAGAACCCCTGATATTATTTTACATTAAGAGATTATACATTTTCGTGTGTTATATGAAACGGATGGATGCCCTTGAATTTCGACATGCATCATAACTACTCGAATAAAATATTGAAAAATTTTTTGCTTGATTTCTCACAATGAAATCAAGTGCTGGTTGACAATTACTTGAATATTATTAGTAATCACCGTAGATTTTTTACAATCTGATTGCGATAAGTATCTTAGAAAAATAAACTTTTACCACTACAAAGAATATCACCATCTAGATTACCTTCTTAATATTACAGGAATTAACAACGGCCTCTTGAATTTCGGATCTATACGTAAAACGAAAAACATCGTGTCAAATGATACTGCGTTTGAATAAATGAGTTTGCCCTCCCTTATAAAGAACAACAGCGTTGTAACGCGTTGCTTCGATATTCATTCAATTTGATTATTTTTCGCTAGTTTATATCGGTACTTATTAGCTATTGGCTTGGTAGTTTGAGAAGCACGTGTTGCTGTGTTGATGGCTATAGTGTTGCTGTGTTGGTGGCTATAGTGTTGCTGTGTTTCTGCTCCAATTCTGCTGTGCTTAACCGCCCGGCCTCCTCGCCGATTCTGACCAGAAACTGGCGCACAGAGCTGGGATCGAACCCGCACCTCTCTGTGCCAATCCTGGTACTCTGAACTTTAACCACTGGGCCCAGTGGTCATCAGAAAAATATCAAAAAATAGGAAAATAATCTTGTGTTTTTCCTCAGCATTGCGTCTCCTAGATCACCTGCTTAACATTCATGGATTTTACAACGGCCTCCACACTGTTGGATGTATACGTAAGATAACGTATACGTAGTATCATAGGATCAAATGATACGACGTTGGCTTGTAGAACACGTGTTGATAAGTGCAGTGTTGATGTAATAATGAATATAGTGTTGATGAGTTGATAGTTGCAGTGTTGATGACAATAGTGATGATAGTTGCAGTGTTAACTGCTATAGCTTTGATATGTTGATGGCTGTAGTCGTTAACACGCATGAACAAACGTTTCTTTCAGTGGTTCTGTTCACTTACAAACGTTTAGTTTATTGGGTTTGTTCATATAAAATTCATTAAATTAGTTAAACTTGTGAGATTTTTCGCTCGAAGAAGCTTCATGTTCAGAAAAATTTTAATTTTCGATGTTCCTTTCCAATTCCGATTTTATATTCCAATGTTACCTTGTGCAATTGTTTAAAGCTACCACCCTGAACTGAGTGATTAAAATAATTATCTAATATCTGAACCTCCTACATTCACTCTTAATTAAAGATAACTAAATATTGAACGTATAGTCGTTTCGGGTCAATTATCTCCTCACCAGACAAATGACGTTGAATTAACGTTGAAATAAACTTTTTTGTGTTGAATCGACGTTGATTAAAAGTTCTTCCAACGCAGGTTGACTGGTTGGTCAGAAATGGAAGTAGGAAAGTGGCACTGAATACGTCTAAGTCATGGCGATTGATCGCATTATATCTATAACTGCTGATGGAATCCAGTAACTAAAGTTTTGCGAGCAGATAACATGTTGGGTGAGAATAAATTAGTATGTAAGCTTTGGTATTGGTCTAGGCAATCTAGTGCGGATTTGGGGGCCTGATCATTCAGTTGCGTATCCCAAGTCATCGAAGGCAGTACTAGACGCTTAGCATACCTACCGCCGATCATAAATTCTTTAATAAACTGTTGCTTTAGGGGAAAAAACATTCAAACAGGAGATATTGAGGGCTATAACTGTAGGCAAGTTGACGGGGGAAGTACTTTTAAATTTCTATTTTGGAGCCTCGCTTTCAAAACTACTTCTTAAAAGTGAAAAAATATTCACAATCCTTAATCAAAATCCGATACATTTTCAAGAAGAGTACAAATTACGCATTTGATTCAGAAAATATAAGAACGTTGATTATTTATGCTTCTTTGCTTGTTCATAAATGAACATGGACTCTTTTTTGTCGGTTCTTTTGCTAGCGGTTTTTCCATTTGTTTGCGCTGGACAGAACTTTGGTCGGTATTCTGACTACACCATCAAGGCGAGCTCCGTGTCTAGCTATGGGGCTGATTTTCCTTCCAAGTGTAAGTGAGACATTAGTACTACACGTTAATTTTATGTCTTAGGTGGCTCCCGCACTGTGACAGAGTGCGTTTAGTGGATCTTGGTTAAGTTGGAATAAAAAATGCAAATAATTGATTTCATGTTGAATTCAACAAATGAATATTGCTTATAGTTAGGTTTACATAATTGTTTTGCGTGTTATAATTTGTGTTCAAAACAGTAATAAAAATAAATATAATATAAATGAATCTAGATCCCACTAGACTATCATTACATAATTGTTTTCAGTGTGTAAGTATTTATGACAATATCACCTTGTCATCGCAAGTGGGCTCTCATTTCCAGGTCACTGCCGGTCGAAATGCTTCTTCGACCCGTCGTGTGTGGCGGTGGCGATCTCAGCCACACCCGCCGCCAGCAGCTCGTACACGTGCAAGTTCACGGCGGCGGTGGCGGCCACTGGCCAACTTCTGCAGCCTCACGACTTCCTCGAACACGGCGCTGGGATTGACACCTACGTCAAGGGTAAGACCTGCGACTGCACCCAAAGAAATGATTTAGATGATAAAAGAAATTATTGATTATTGAATAAGTATCAGTTATGCACTTTTAGACCTTTTATGGGTCATCCTGATACAGTTTGGCCAACAAAAGGGCGCATCCGTGTTACTAACGCTTTCTGCCCGACCTTTGAGCAAGGTAGTGTGTAGTGTGCTGTGATAAGTAAGTGCTGTGATAATGTAAGTAATAACTGCCAGCTTCAATATCATCCTTATGTAGCATGAGCAAACCAGGTTAGGTCCTGAATGTTACGAAAATGTTATATATAACTTATCATTTCATGGATCTTCATCACAATTTCAATTAAGTCATCATTAGGAATAAAATTCTACGTTACATGTTTCTATACATGTGATAATTGATTATTAAAGTTTTTTGCTTTTTTGTCAGGTTTTTCATGCTACCCTCCCTTGCAACTGATCCTGGGGGTTGGCTGTCTCTACATCAGCACGGATGAGAAAAACTTCGCCGATGCCAAAGCCATCGGATGTCCTGCGGGAACTAAACTCTACGCTCCTCCATCACAAGACAGCTACTTCAAACTTGCAGAATACCTCATGCGCAGTAAGTTTATTCCCTGACACAAAACAGAGTAGTACTAACGCGTTGCATCGATAATTACACTATTTTACTATATATACACGTTATACACTATTATAATTACATATTCTTCAGCTGGCACCACAACCGACTACTGGGTGTGGGTGAACAAGCTCCCGAACAACACTTGGGTGTGGGAAGACGGCAAATATTCCTACGGCACGGCTGTTTACCAGCAAGGCGTGTGGGCTACAGGCAACCCAGGAGGTGCATCGAGTGACAAGTGTGGCAAAATGAGACGCTCCGCTAACTATAAAATGTCTGACCGATCTTGCACTGAGTCATACAAGTACATCTGCACAATGGCTTAACTTATTACACGGAATTCTCAAAAGATTTATAGCAAGGGAACGCTAAAATCTTGTGCTTAAGTGTGGTGGTACCAGATTGGGTTCGACTACAAGTTAACCCCACTCGTTGAAATCCGAACTCATTTAGCGACAAAACATGTGTTTACTTATCCGAATACTGCTAAGAGATTTGAACACTGATACACTGGCGGCAGTATGGCTTTTCACAGAATTTGCCACTCTCGTATGCATTTCAATTGGACTGAATTAGACTTTTTGATTGACTATGCGTTTCAAATCTACTGAGATATTATTGAATATTCTTTGAAAATTAGCCATCATTGAAACTTCACATGAAATTACTACTTAATTCGAATCTATTGTTTTAAACTGCCAACCAGAACGAATTATTATCGAGTCAAGAGGCACCGCGAAGTATCCTCCAAACCATTTCCTGACTTAAAGTTACTGGTCAGCTTTAAGCGTTCCAAAATTCGGTAGTGAGTGTTTAAAGGCCTTAGAAAGTTGATGGTATAGTCGAGTGATGACTGCTGCACCCACGTGCTATGAAAGTCAGTGATGCCTATAACGCTTTTTATATCACCGTGAAGCGTGGGTATTATCGTCACTAAACTTTAGGCGTGTCACAATTTTTCCTGAATATTATATAATTATACGACATTATATGCTCACCGTCTCACGATAACATGGTACATTGATAATTTCTAAACCATTTTTGGTTTGACGTCTCTTCACCGTTATGTGAAAGAGGAAAATTTTGAAAAATGTTCGCAGCTTTCCATGTCAAATATTTACATCCAAAGAGCGATGAGTCTAATATAGATATTACTTGAACATCGGTTGACAGAGGATCCAACGCATTAGTAAAAAATTTATTTTTTATTCCGTTGACATATTTAGTAGCTGTAATTGTGTATGCTTTAAGATTTCTAGTTTGGATTTTGGATAATATTTAGATCACGGAATGACCTTTCTCTCAAATTTTATGCGATCGTTGAGGCAGAAAAGATCCAGTTTGCCCAAAGTGATCGAAGAGTATTTAGAACACGTCTTACATTCAAAAACAAAATAATAAACTAAATTCTTAACAGGCCTCTGGCTATCTGCTTAGAAGTTAGACTCAGTTTAAAAATCTACTCATTCGGATGGATTATTTTCATTACTGTGTTAAGTAACATATTAGGACCAGTTAAAGACAACCAAACTTGTGCTGTAGCCGTTAATTTCATTTATTTACTCAATATGAGCGATTTTTGTCAACGCGGTAGCCATGGCACGGTCACGATCGATCCAGATTATTTATTTAAAATTTAAGTCCAGCATTGCATTGCTCACCCCTAAATGTCAACCTGGTTGTCCATAAATCAATCTAAATAGCGTGTTTATTCAAGTGATTTTTCTGAAATAGCGTGTACCGCCAAATAATGACATGTCATCCACCCATCAAATCCAATAATCTATGATCCAATAATCTATAATCCAATAATCTGATCCCCGATTATTTTGTACCTAAGATGCACGTTCTAGTTTTCATTCCACTATTACTATAGTTATATATTTTATTCCACTATATCAATACACCTGGAATATTTGTGCACCCTGATTGCTCCCGAACACTAGTGCGTTGTCACGAGTAGAATATAATATTGATGATTTCTTCAGCAATCAAACGAGAAAAACTTTGGGCCTTATGACCTTACGATGAGTTTGGGACTTCCTAGTCCCCGGTCACGCTGATGCGCCGCCTTCGTCGTCCTCCGTCTCCGAGTCGTCGTCGGATGTAACGTTGGACGTGTTCCGTCTATTTGCCCTCCTTTGGGCCACCTGATGCAAGATGCTGTTGCTTGTCACTTGCTAAGGGTAGTTTCCCATTACTGGACAATCCGGGATCTTTCTCAACCACTTGTCCAGTCGTCTCTTGAATGTTGCAAGGGTAAACTCCCCTCCTCTCTGCGCTTTTGGCAAGGCATTAAAGAGCCTCGGTCCTACCACGGACAGTGATCCCTCACGAAGAGTCTGTACTCTGGCCGCGGCTCGGTTATTAAATAGTTTTTGCTGGCCGCTCGGGCAGCAGCAAAAACTATTAAAACTTTTTTAATTACAATGTTTCACACGAGTTAAATCTTCATTAAATATAATTGAAACGCCTATATATCACAAGTTTTATGGCATGATGTGTATGTTCGCGCTCATACTTTAAAGTATTAATCACGATTGTTCAAAGTGTGTTTTCAAGATTTAAGACGTTTTATCGTTTACGAAGAATACAATAATCATCAGGTGTAGATGTGCATTTCTAACTTTTCCAAAAACTTTAAGAATCAATTTCGTGTGCCATAAATATCAAACTGACGATTAATCCGGAAAATATGAATATTATGGTGAGATCCTTTGATTGCAAACCAATTTCAGGTTTTATGTTTTAAAAATTACCTATAATTTCCTTTTACCTTCATAAGACATAACAAATGCACGAAACGAGTAATGCTAACACATATGTGTGCCTTTTCACACATATCTGTGAAATAGTCATGTTCGCACAAGTGTGTGCCTATCCACACAAATATATGTACGAACAGGCTAAAGTCACTTCATTTAAATTATACGGGAATAATTTCCCTGCAAAATTCTGTTATAGCTTAGGCTGCACTGCTGAGCGCAAAATAAAGATCTAATGTGCATGAATTTCTTGTGATATCTTGACCATGAAATGATGACGTTTTCGGCCTCATGATTTCGAGGCAAATGCGAATTGCAAAGCTAATGGGCTTGCTGAGATTTAGAGTGTCTCGAGTAATTGTTAGTTGCGGTTTCTGGATGATACATAGTGCAATTATTTGTGAATAAGTAGCCAATTTACCATAACTTGCATCTTGATTGTCTTGACGATATATCGACTGGAATTGGAAGCTATATATCTGGCATTGGCTCTCGCTCGGCCTGTTGATGGTAGCAGCTCATTTTTAGACACGTGGGCAATATGTTCCAAGCCTATGATTTGTTGCTCCACGAAATGTGTTCACTGTTTTTCGAACAATTATTTCTTCCATGATAGTTTCCAATAGTAATTGTGATACATGCATATAATCAGTGCGTGCGAGCACCGAGCGCGAAGCTCATAACGATTAATTATGTTTGCCTGAAGTCGATTTGTTTCATTTTGACAGATTTCAAACTTAGTTTGTCGAGATAATAGTTTTACGGGTGTCGCTCATCACATATTGTTATCAAGAGTTATTTAAATTCATTTGGCCCTGAATAGAGATCGCTTCTACGAAAGATTTTTAATTATGTCACACATCAAGTTTGAAATATATGCAGGATAAGACTTTGAATATGCTGTCTCAAATAATAAAAAGGAGAAAATTTGGAACAACGGGAATTAGTGTTTACATTTTATTCGCAATGCAAAGTGTTTGCCACTGTTAAATAGAATTGCTCAGCACGACCCCATTACCATTAAATAAAAGCTATACCGGAATTTAAATTTTCATACAGAGCAAAAACCACAAATAATTCTCAGCGATAGTGCAAAATAAAAAACTAATTACACGATTTTCTCATGATATTTGAACCAGCAAATAAAGTACTCTTAGATTCATCAGACTTAATTTCAAGGCAAATCACGAAGCCATTGGTTTGCGGTGATTTCGAGCGCATTGGATATGTATTGTGGCTACTGGGTGACACGTGGAACAATTTGTGGAGAAATAGCCATCATTTGTGTACCTTGCTGCGCTTTTGGCCTTGGGGTCATTTCGACTGGAATTTAGAATTATTATCTTGCATTGCACTGCGGTGGACCTGACGATTGTGGTGCACATAATTGGGTGCACGGTCATTTTTAGACCCGTGATCAATATGTTGCAGGCCTACGATTTTGTTCTGTAATAATGTTTGTCGATTATGATTTAGAACAAGTCTATATCCCGGAATATTTTTATTTTTCTTTAATTTTTTAACAATCAAGTGTATCCGAAGCGAAAACAACCATTTCTATCTGAAGCCGATAACAATCATTTGTGTCTGAAGCGAATAACTAACATTTGTAACTAAAATTAATCCGTCACATGTTGCGCAATACTTATATTTTCATCAGAAAATGTTGGCCTTCTTATATTTATCCTCTGCGAATCTGCGAAGATTAGTTTTATTTTAACTTATTTGAACTTATTTTTAGTTTAGTAGAGGCAAAAATTTTGCTGATATCACCTTTTTCACTTATACTCTTATTGATCATACCACAATTTGTAGTGAAGAAGCAATGCGGCAATGTGAAGTATAGTAGTGTATTATTCAATGTAGTATTTGTAGTGAAGAAGGAATGCGGCAATGTTTACTGGTAACCAAGGTGAAGCAAGTGGCAGACGGTCAGCCACACGTGCAAGTTCACAACACTTTAAACTAGTCACAAATTGCAATAAAAGCCAAACATATATTCAGCTAATACTGGAATTTGCTACGAGGTAAATGAATTTTTTTTAATAAAAATACTATCAGAAAATAGGAAAAAAATAATACCAAATATATTCACCATATTTTCATTGGAAACCGTTTCCAAGACGAGCTTTAAATTTAGTCATTATATTGATTATATTTGTTTTTTTCAAGTTTTTGAATCATTGACCGAACTGATAGGATTCAAGTAAAATCGTGTGTGATTTCTCTCATTTCAATTCGAGAACTTTCAGACTTTCTATTGAATTGATTGGAAGTTTAGTAGTTCAATTGAACCTCTATAATTTACTTTCCTGATTGTGAATTTATGTTTCTGATTAGATTTTAATTTTTTTGGGTGCGTTGCTCGTAGTTTTCCCATTTCTTCAGCATCAATTTGGTGCGTATTCTGGCCACACTGCTACGCCGAGCTCAGTGTCAACTCTTGCGCAGCTTTTCCTCCAAGTGGAAGTAAAACTAGACGCAAATATTTTCCAATATGGAGGCCTTTTGCCAGTTGATTTTGACGGTAAAATGAAACTGCAGTTTTGTTTTTCGAACAATTATTTCTTCCAGATAGTTCTAATCGTTTTTGTGATACATGCATATAATCAGTGCGTCCGAGTACCGAGCGCAAAGCGCATACCGATTATGTTTGCTTGAAGTCGGTTAGTTTTATTTTTACCGATTTCAAAGTTAATTTTGTCCAGATAATTGTTTGACGGGTGTCACGCATCACTTGTATTGTTATCAAGAGGCATTCATATTTATTTTGCCCTGAACAGAGATCGGTTTTACGAAAGAATTATAATTATGTCATACATCACACATCAAGTCTGCAATATATGCAGAACAATACTTTGAATATGCTGTCTCAAATAATTAAAATGAGAAAATTTGCAACTACTGAATTAGTGTTGACATTTTATTCGCAATGCAAAGTGTTTGCTTCTGTTAAATAGAATTGCTATTTTTATTATACAATTGGTTATTTTATTTGCAATAGAATAGCTATTTGTATTATATAAATGGCTATTCTATTTGCAATAGGATAGCCATCTGTATTAAATAAATGGTTATTCTATTTGCAATGGAATAACCATTTGTATCAAATAAATGTTTATTCTATTTGTAATAGAATAACCAATTGTATTAAAAAAAAGCTCAACCGAGAATTTAAATTTTCATACAGAGGAAAAGCCAGAAATAATTCTCAGTGACAGCACTCCTAATTATAAAAAAATTTTGATGGCTTAAGTTTGAACACAAGGTTTCTTAACTCTCCTAATAATTTGTTAAACTCTCTTCTAAGCCGACAAAACTTTTCACAATTGATGCTGAAGAAATATTACAGCGAATGTTTACTGATAACCAAGGTGATGCGAGATTGGCCGTCAGCCGCACGAGTTCCGCAAAATATTGAACTACTCGCAAGCGACTCAAGTGAGTCGATAGTGAATAATGGCTCGAAAGCGACTCAAGTGCAAATATTTATCGAATACGGACTTCTTGTAACGAGATAAAGGCTTTTTATGCTAAGAACAAAAAAGAAAGCAAAGAACGATGAATAACTATACCACTTCTAAATTGGAAAACTTCTATGAAACAAACTCCAAAATTGATCATTCTATTGACTATATATGTGTTCTTCAAGTCTTTGAACCAAAGACGTAACTAATAAGCAAAATTGTTTTCAATTGAGATATGAAGCATTCACTTCGTTTTCTTCATTTGAAACCGTGTCTTGGCTGCGATGAAAATAAGTATTGCTAAACCCTGAATTTAAACTTTTTGCACGAGTAAATGGAGCAGTCCCTTCTCCAATTATTTTGCCTAATGCCTGTTGAAAACTTGAATTTGAGTGATTTGAGTTGCAGGATGGGTAAATGAGTCGATTTACTTACTTGACTGGCTTTGTAGTCAGGTAATGTTTTGACATGTATAGCTTGCATCATCCATTTGGATTCCTTGGTTCGCAGAAAATATAAAATAGTTTTCCATCAAGTCACTTTCTGATCATATTTCTAAAGAAATATCCAGACAGTACTGTTGAAATTTCATGTGAAGTAAAAGTTACGTTGAAAAAATATCAATTAAGTTTTGATAACTGAAGAAATATTTTGACTTTTTCCATTTCTATACTTTTAATTGAGAAATATTTTTATTATTAAAGATTAATGGCAAATAATGAATTTTATTATCTAATATAATATAATATAATAATTATAAATAGTAATATGCATAAAATCCATATGGTTCCAAGTTCGTAATTTTCCTAAAAAAACTCTATTGGTCAATCATTCAGATACAATGTATAGATTAGTTCCTCATTAAAGGAGCGGGAAATAAGTTTGATATACGCAGGATTTTTTCAAACGTTGATGAAGTTCCCCTATCGTTCTGACGATGCTATTGCAACCACCCTATGGTGCCAGCGTTTGTACATCAAGATTTTTGATTATTATTGTTATTTTGATTATTATTTATTTAATCGGACATGCTTAAGTCATTGGATGCATCAGCCTGATATATAAACCTCTACCGGAAACATTCCGATAGGTATGTGTTCGAAATTTCTTTATTCATGTACTGCGATAAAGTAAAGAATGGTCACTGAATTTTCTGCAAGGCCACCCTTGATATTAGCCAGACATTATTTTTACAGCAAGAATTGGATCTATTTAAGTAATTTTTACAACTGCATTTGGTTGGTTATTAATTTTCTTTCACGCATTGTAACTGTTCGAATAAAGTCTTTGCAAACGTAAGCCTTGGAGTCTGTTAATGAAGATAGATTGAAAATTACTTGAATGTTGGGAGTAACCACCGTAGATTTTTCCCATAAGATGTATAATAATATTAATAATAATAATAATAGATATTTCAACGTTCATTAAGCCGTAGGCCTGTCGCCGATTCTTAACATTGCAGAACATTCCCAGCTTGTTGTGGTTTCGAACTCACAACTCACTGCTCCAATTCTGCTGTGCTTAACCGCCCGGCCTCCTCGCCGATTCTGACCAGAAACTGGCGCACAGAGCTGGGATCGTCTCTTATACACATCTAGATGTGTATAAGAGACAGGTGTCAACTCTTGCGCAGCTTTTCCTCCAAGTGGAAGTAAAACTAGACGCAAATATTTTCCAATATGGAGGCCTTTTGCCAGTTGATTTTGACGGTAAAATGAAACTGCAGTTTTGTTTTTCGAACAATTATTTCTTCCAGATAGTTCTAATCGTTTTTGTGATACATGCATATAATCAGTGCGTCCGAGTACCGAGCGCAAAGCGCATACCCTGTCTCTTATACACATCTAGATGTGTATAAGAGACAGATATCACCTTGTCATCGCAAGTGGGCTCTCATTTCCAGGTCACTGCCGGTCGAAATGCTTCTTCGACCCGTCGTGTGTGGCGGTGGCGATCTCAGCCACACCCGCCGCCAGCAGCTCGTACACGTGCAAGTTCACGGCGGCGGTGGCGGCCACTGGCCAACTTCTGCAGCCTCACGACTTCCTCGAACACGGCGCTGGGGTTGTTACTTACGTCAAGAGTAAGCTCCTCGATGTCGTACAAATGTTGTCTGATAGCTGAATTTTAAGCGTTAGGGTCGCTGCATTCCAGTGACTTGGGTCAATATTGGTCAGCAAATTGATATGGATTGCAAAAATGTTGACTGCCATATCAAAAAAGAAATTTTTTCGTTCATATGGCGACGTCTTTCGGAGACACACATAACATTGAGTCTGTATCACAATGTGCCGCTGTTAGCCATCGCAGAGAGATTGAAAGTTTAGGGAAAACTTCAAGCCATGAAATGGAATCTAAATGATCTGGAATCAAAATTTTGGGATGGGTATTTGTTTATGGTTCTAATTAGATTTGAAAGCAGGCGCTATTTTAATGTAAATAAAAAAATTGTAAGATATGCCTGATGCATCACAAGCAAACTGCGTTAGGTCAAAACTTTCACCCGAATTTCACATTTCATTTTGTGAATTATCCTCGCAATTTCAACCAAGTCATCCCGTAGAATAAAATTCAGCCTGACGAGTTCCTGCATTTGTTAGAATTAATTCTGAAACAAATATTACTTTTTGCCAGGTTTTTCATGCTACCCTCCATTGCAACTGATCCTGGGGGTTGGCTGTCTCTACTTCAGCACGAACGCGACAAACTTCGCCGATGCCAAAGCCATCGGATGTCCTGCGGGAACTAAACTCTACGCTCCTCCATCACAAGACAGCTACTTCAAACTTGCCGATTACCTCATGCGCAGTAAGTTGATTCCTGCTGCGTCGATTACCCCATTAGCAGTGAGCAGAGTCCCCGCATGATCCTTGTTTATTACCTCCCTTGTTGTAAGTAACATCTCGTCCTTTATCTGCCTATTACTTCCTTAACAGGAATTAAAATCTATTATTGATCCTGTCTATTACCTTGTTAATGCTAAATAAAATATGTTTTCAGTGCACGACTGTCACCAGTTCGAATGTCAAATACGACTAAAGCATATCGAGAGAAACTGTCAGCACCAATTTATCGATTTTATCCTAAATAATATACACGTATTGTATCGAATGTTTCTGGGGACAAAATTATCGACGATTTCCGCACCGATATGCGAAGGGGTCGAAGTGGTACAATTTATTGCCCGTACATGAAAATAGTGTTCGAACGTAACCATTGTGTGAACGTTAGGATATAGTAGCACATTGTATGGAAGGTAACCATGTATTTTAAAAAATGTAGTGCAAATTAGTTTGCTCTTCCAAACAAAAACAGAGTTAAAACGAGTCATATTGCTCTTTCTTCAGCTGGCGCTACTGTGGACTACTGGCTCTGGGTTAACAGGAAAACTGACTACACTTGGGTGTGGGAAGACGGTAAATATTCCTACGGCACGGCTGTTTACGAGCAAGGCGTGTGGGCTCAAGACAATCCCGGAAATCAAACACTCAACACATGTAGCAGGATGAAACGCAAGGCTAACTTTGAAATGTCTGACAAAGCCTGCACTGAGCTCTACAACTTCATCTGCACAATGGCCTAACTCACTTCATGGCATTCTCAGAGGATGTATAGAAAAGGAAAGCAGGACGCTGATGCTAGAGGGCAGAGGCAGAAGGTTGTAAGCTTTTCAGAGTACAGCAGTACATATTGATTCGAGTACACGTTGACCTCGCACCTTCAAATCCAACCTCATTTGGATTAAAAGGTGGGACAGCGATACTATTGGATATTATATCCAAACAGAGATATTATTGGATATACTTTGCATTTGGCCTTCATTAAGAGTTCACATAATGTTGCTCCTTAATTCGAATTTATATTTTCGAACTGCCGAAAAGAAAAAAATTATCTCCGAATCAATAGGTACCGCAAAATACCATTTATTCCATCTCTTAAGTATCAAAATTTCCAGTCAAAATCGTTTCAAATTTAGAGGTGAGGTTATCCTGAACATAGTTGATAAAAATCTATTTATGAGTTTTACTACCACATAGACACTATCATCAAAAAACTTCAGATGCGTCACAACTTTTCCTGAACATCATTGAATTATATGACACAGTGTGATCACAGCCTCATTATAGCTCACAATAACCTAGCATATTTGGAATTTCAATGCAATGCCCGTTTTGCCGTGTCTTTAATTAAATACAAGATGGAAGTTTTGGTAAGTGTTGGCGGCTTTCTATGTCAAATATTGGCATCCTAAAAGCGATGAGGTCTAAAACAGAGCTTTCTTGGACATCTGTTTATAGCGGATGCGCAATATGAGCAAAAGCTTAATTTTCGTTATTACCTTGTCAAATTTACGGCCATTGTAGTAGATTTGAAAAGGTTGTTGATGCTAATCGCCTGATTTGAATGACATTTTAATCGGGGAATAACATTTTGCAATATCCCGGTTATTCCACGCGATCGTTATTGTCGTGAAGACAGCACTCTATTCAGCAAGAATAGAGTGCTGTTCAGCACTCTCTCTCATTCTCTATTCACAGCACTCTAAGCAATTGAGAGCATGACACTCATTTATTGGCAAAAGTAAGACAGTAATTAATAACCAAGTCCTAGACAATTTGGTTAGAAGTTTTCAACAATTTTTTGCCCTCTAATTTTGCTCAAAACTTTGCTGCTTTTTTGCTGCGAAGTTGGACCAGGACTAGTCCATCATAACATAACTTGGGTTATAGCTGTTAATTGAGTAACTAAATTAATGTGAGCAATTTATGTCAACTCCACGGTATCCACGGTGATGATTGACAATATTATTTCATGCTGAATTGTAATTCCTCACCAATAGTTATCAACATGGCCGTCCAAATCTCAATCACAATGGAGTATTAATTTGTAGAAGATTATTCTCAAATGCAGTGCACCAGCTATTTACTTTTTTTCATAATCTATAACATAATCTGATTATTATTCCCACAGTGCAAGCCTCACTTATCATTCTACTATTAGTAATCATTCCACTAATATTATAGTTATAATTACTCTATTATTATAGTTACAGTTTTCATTCAACTATATTTGTATAGTTGTAGTTATCATTCCACTATTATTCTAGTCATAGTTCTCGTTCCACTACATCATACCACCTTGAAAATTTGTGCTGCGATCTTGCTCCCCAATTCCAGTGACTTACCTTGGCTCTCATATCGACGACTTCTACACTGGAGTGACTGGACTGTGAATGACAGCAGCAGCAACTATCAAAACTTTCTCGATCTGTTACATGAGTTGTTTCTAAGGGATGGTTCTTACTTAATACGCTGGCGACGCGAAAATATCACGAATTCTAACTTATTATTCATGTTTGCGCTCATGTTTGAAGCTGTTTTCAATTATTATTAACCTAATTGCTCGTTCATGATCTTTGAAGCTCAATCCTTTCCTAAGAATGACAAAGAATGCAAAAAATCTTCACGCCTGAATGTCCATTTTGCATTTTTAAAAACTTTAAGAATATTTTCATGTAACTTTAATGCCAACGTAAATATATTCAAAATGCAAACTTCAAACAACCATTAATCAAGAAAACATGCATATTTTGGTAAGATCAATTGAATTGACGACCAATTTCAGGTTCTACGTCAAAAAAATTGCCTAGAACTTTTCTATAACTCCAAGACTTTCTTTCTTAAAAAGTCCATCTACAACATTACGAAAAAGTATTAACTTTTGTATAAATAATATTAGCAATATGAAAGAGTATTTTAACACTATAAAAGAGTCATATTCACATACTTGTGTGAACAGGCTAAATTCACTTCATTGCACTTTTATTGAGACCAGTAAATTTTCAGAAGGTTATACTGCGTGCAAATAAAGAACTAATTACGTGATTTTCTCGTGATTTATGAACCCGGAAAAAAGTTCTCATAGATTCATCGGGCCCTTAATTTCAAGACAAATCACGAAGCCATTGGTTTGCGGTGATTTCGAGCGGATTGGTTGTGTATTGTGGCTTCTGGGTGGCACGTGGAACAATTTGTGGAGAAATAGACATCATTTAATTGGACCTTGCTGCGCTTTTGGCCATGGGGTCATTTCGACTGGAATTCAGAACTATATAATATCTTGCACTGGACTGCGGCGGACCTGATAATTGTGGTGTATGCTCCTTTTTAGACCCGTGTTCAATATGTTTCATGTCTTTGTTTTGGTTCTGCAATAAATGTGTTAGTCCATTATGATTTTGGAAGAAGTCCATTTCCCCGAGTATTTTTTTATTCTTTACTTTTTAAACAATCAAGTGTATCTGAAGCGAAAACAACCATTTGTATCTGATGCGAATTATAAACATTTGTAACTTAAATTAATCAGTCACAAGCAGCCCAATACTTGAATTTTCAGCAGAGAATTTTGGCCCTCTCATGTTTATCCTCTGCGAAACTTCGGAGATTAATTTTATTGTAACTTATCTGAAACTTAATTTGAGTTTAGTAGCGATAAAAATTCTGCCGATATCATCTTCTTCATTTATCGTATATCGATCGTATCACAATTTGTAGTGAAGAAGCAATGCGGCAATGTTTACTGGTAACCAAGGTGAAGCAAGTGGCAGACGGTCAGCCACACGTGCAAGTTCTCAACACTATTAAACTAGTCGCAAATTGGCATGAAAGCCAAGCAGATATTCAGTTAATACTGGTATTGTTACGAGGTAAATACCGTTTCTTGGTCAAAATAGAAATAGTATCAGAAAGCAAGGGAAAAAAATAATACCAAATAAATTCAACATATCTTCATTGCAAAACATTTCTGCGACGAGCTCTAAATATGGTTATTATATTGATTATATATGTTTTCAACAAGTTTTTGAACCAATGACAGAACTGGTAAGTGATGTTAGTAAAATCGAGTGTAAAATTGCTCAAATTTCAATTTGAGAACCTTCACACCTTCTATTGACATAATTGGGAGTTTAGCAGTTCAATTCCACTTTCAAAATTTACTTTCCCGATTATGAATTAATATTTCTGATTAGAATTTTACTTTTTTCGCTTTTGTTGCTCGTAGTTTTCCCATTTCTTCAGCATCAATTTGGTGCGTATTCTGGCCACACCGCTACGGCGAGCTCAGTGTCAACGCTGGCGCAGCATTTCCTCCAAGTGGAAGTAAAACTGGGCGCGAATATTTCCCAATATGAAGGCTTTCTGCCATTTGATTTATCGGTAAAACGAAACTGCATTTTCCCAAAACATTTTATATGGTTCATCGAATTTCAAAATAACTTCAATGGATTTTCAGGCATTGGTAATCAGTATGGGTTTTTATACAGAGGCGATAGAAATCTATAGCTATGGAGTAAATATCGACAACAAGTAAACATTTAGTTTAACAACTTATGCAGTAATTGTATAGAATATTATAAGTAAATGAAGCTGATGTGACTTGAAAGGATAATAATACAGGAAAGAATATGACAGATTAGTTTCCCAAAAAGTCAATGTGAGAATTGAAGGCCTGGCTTAATGCTATAAAGTATAAAATAATGCAGGATTGCGGTTAAGGGTGCAAATTCAGAGCATATAATTTCATAGCGAAACCAATGAGCAAATTTGATTATAACTTAAATAAAAGAATGTTCAGATTATCATACGAAAGGAGGCAGTTCATTTGAAAATTATATTCGTTCAACCTAGTTCTCATATCATCCAGTTTACTACCAAGCAAAGAAAATAAAGCGCGCAACTGGATCACTCAGTCTCCAGCGTGCATGAGAGAGAGGTAAACCGGTTATTGCGTCAGTTTTACGTGAGTGTCCGCAGTTAATAAATATTAATGTTCTAATTGTTTTTGAGTATAAATATGATTGAGATGTTCATTTACTAGTGTTATTCCGTTGTTCTCGCGCGAAGGAATGAATCCTCCAGCTCTCTACGCGTACGCGGTACTGTAGTTCACCATTCGAAAGCACATTATTCAGTTTCGTAAACTTCAATGCCGATTTCATGTGAAGTAATAAAGCAATAACATTGCGTGTTCACTCACTAAAACTAAGATAACGTTTTTGAAATTCTTTCGTTTTCTCGAGGCGAAGTATTTGCACGCGGCAAGAATCTGTGAAATATTGTCTTCTGAACGTGGAAAGATAAAACTTCCAAGTTGGTTTAGGTGGGGGCTGTGTGACAGTGTGGCTTGTGGGTAATGAAACTAACAGTTTCGCAAATAATTTCACAATTCATTTTCTATACATTTCAACCAAAGAAATTTGCTAACCTCGTTTAAATCTCATTTGCAGAAGAAGGGTGAACCTTGCCGCATGGTCAAGACGGTTGCGGCATTTAGTCCAAAAAAATTCAGTAATGCACTGGTATGTCTAGGTAGAACCCTAGCCTGAGCACTTCAACCCCATGCAAAATACATGGAAGATTTCCTTTGAACACATGGAAACGGAATTATCAATGATATTATTCGACCCTTGCAGGATATGAAGAAATTTCTGTTGAATGTTTTCAATACAGCAATTGCATCCTGTAGCTTTCGATTCGCCGGTCGTCGACACTAATTGAATGGTAGGAATACGATATTCGTAGATAATTCTAACACTATCGTTAACGTCAGGCTTTCTTCTTCTGTCCCTGAATTCCTTCATTTGTTTCTAATTCTGATTGTTTCGAATTTGGTGAAACTATTATGTGTAATCTTATACCTTGTTTGCGTAATCTTCACATTAGACATTTTCACGCAGATTTTCATTGTAATTTATTTTATACTGCCTCAGTTCAAGCGATTGTTGTCGGCATTATTTTCTTAGCATTACGAACACCATATGGGTTTTTGAAGGCTAGCGCGGTAAATGGATAGTTGTACGGGCGCGTATGTACGATACTACTACTGAAACTTTATGGGATCAAGAATGTATGTAATAGTTGGTGGCTCAATCGCTTACCATCGCTTCTAGAATTTAGGAGTAAAGCATTTAATAGCGGTTGCAGCGTTTATTAGGACGTGGGCCTTCGCCGATTCTTAACATTACAGCATTTTGCCGTCTCGAACTCGCAACGCACTGCTACAATTCTGCTGTGCTTAACCGCCCGGCCTCCTTGCCGATTCTGACCAGAAACTGGCGCACAGAGCTGGGATCGAACCCGCGCCTCCCTGCGCCAATCTTGGTACTCTGAACTTTAACCACTGGGCCACTTATACATTATATAGACTTATTCTATACAAATTTGAAACTAACTTTTATGAATAAAATCAGAATTGAATACAGTAGGATGGAGTTAATTTGTCTTCTAATATTATAACAATATTTTGATACTTTACCATTAGATTATGGTTAAACGAGTGCAGCTCTTATTTCAAACACTTTACTTGTATGCGTTAACAGAATTTTCAGCGGTATCTGAGTTAAATGGGGACATGATATTTGCTAATCCCCATTGTATTAAAAATCCATCTTTTTTCAGTTCCGGCATCCCTAATCCAGTTAATTATGCAATCAAAGTATACCGCATTTTAAAGAGGAATCGTTCAAACCTTCTTATGGCATGAAACTCCCATTAATGAAGTTCAGTTTTCAATTCGAAGTTAACTATTTATTTTGCATAATTTCCAGCTTAGCGAAGTAGGAATCACTATCAGTTTTAAATATATCGAAATGATATATTTAGATATATTTATATTTACGAATATACTGATATATTTACTTATTTGTGTGAATTTTGACAGTCGAATTCTAAAATTTTGCTTTACGATACCTAGAAGTCGTGATTGGATTACCCGAATATTTTTAGCCTCTCCGACAAAATATATATTTGGACGCTGTTTTTGCGGCATTTGAAAACTTTATGTTGCGAAGTTCAACTTAATAAACCATAAGAAAAATGGAAGAGATGTTTTATCTCTGATGAACTTGGTGTGTACTTTTACTACAGTCTTTAAGCGAATTATTTTTGTTATTTTATCACGGGTATGTCAAGGCACGATGGAAGCTCTCTTACAACACTCTTGTTTTTACTTGTAACTGCTGCGCCAAGTTGTATAATGTGTATGGTATTCGGGTTACCTATCATCTTCTAATTCGAACTTCATTGATCATAATCACTATTCAGATCACACAGTCCTCTCTGTATCATATTAATAAAAAACTTCCTACATCTGCTAAAATAATTGTGTGCTGATTAACTCCTTAGCAGTAAGTAAATCCCAGCCATAGAAAATACAGTCTATCTCATTAGCTTTAAGTAGATTCCCTTCTTAGTCAATGCCGATTACGTCCTCAGCAATGAATAGATTTCAAGCTTGGTCCTTGCTAATAACCTCGTTAACATTAAATGAAATATCTTTTGGTTCCTTACCGCTTAAACCCCTCGACAGCAAGTCAAATCTCTATTCTCATGCTCACTATTTCGTCATTTTTAATGAAATAGTTTAGTGTTTCTGGCCGTTTTACCTAATACGCTATCAGTATAATATCTTTATCCCAGCCCATTATCGCATTGTCAGCATCAGGACGTCTCGGGAACAATGGACCTACACCGCCGAGAATGACCTAACATGCCGAACCAAGAATTGCAGTCCCTACCGCAACCGGCACAGGTGAAAGGTGATAGCTGTTGCCGCTGTTCTAGAATAGCAGCCCCTACCGCAACTGGCACAGGTGAAAGGTGATAGCTGTTGCCGCTGTTCTAGAATAGCAGCCCCTACTGCAACTGGCACAGGTGAAAGGTGATAGTTGTTGCTGCTGTTCTAGAATAGCAGCTGCGACCGCAACCGGCACAGGTGAGAGCGGATAGCTGTTGCCGCTGTTCTAGAATAGTAGCCCCTACCGCAACCGGCAAAGGTGAAAGCGGACAGCTGTTGCAGCTGCCGCTGTTTCTACTGGGCAGATTCGAACCGGCACTATGGCAGCGCTCAGCCTCTGCGCCAAACGCAGAGTATGGCAACCAGAGCAACTGCGTGGCTATCACAATACTGGGTTAATGAAGCACTCTTCTTATATCCTAGTGTCAAGTTTAGGACATCCATGTCCATGGTCATCATCAATGAAGCATCATCTCGTGGATTTTTATCTTGGTAATTTTTTTCCCGGCATGCAGACGAGCCATGCTGTGGAGATTGTCGTCGCACAAGCTACATAACATGGAGCTAAAGCTCGCATGTCCTCGAAAGCGCATTCAAAGAACATGCAGAAAAGATATCACTGAGTGTTTTTATGAGATTAAAACCTATCTTTACACTCCGCTGCTAAGTGGTGAAGCCTAGGAAGTTGCACCGTTGTAGCACGTTTTCGTGGAAGAACTTGATCGCGGCAAGCAGGCAGGTAAGACAGCCGACCTTAAGACAGCATTAAGATAGACAGTCCACTTCGATTGACCTGAGTTAAAGCTTTTGTAATGTCAATGAAGGCTATATAGAATTTCATATGCTGTTCCTGGCCCGTATTCTGCAGATGGCGCAGCGAGACCATGTTCACAGTTACACCGTTGGTCGGCCAGCCCTGAAGCCTCACTGGGATTCGAGGTATGAGGAAAGAGAGGACCTCACTCAGAAGAATGAGTGAGACTTCGTTCAAATAGCGATGCACCTTTTGCTCTAGTGTAGGTCATTCTGACACAGTTTAGCATGACAAAATAAAATTTTACGTACGTTTTTGGCTGGTGATGTGGGTAAGAAACTCACTTTTTGGACAATACGACCTATTCGTTTTTCTGAGTGCAGCAGGCGAGAGAGAGGGACGCAGGCGATTACTTCGTCAAAGATGCTGGTCAAATGGCAATTTTTTCTTTCACTTTTGTCTCCATTATTTTTGTACGAAGTCATGATCTGCGAGTCTCGTGTCATTGGGACGGAACACTTGCAGTAATGATGGAGCTTGTTGAGTGGCAATAGCAGGGCAGGTATAGTAATCTCATGATCAATAAGCCAAATATTTTCTTTGTATTCTCTAATTATCTCATTAAGTCTAATTATTGTCTTGGTACTTGCATATGTTTATCAACAATAACCTAAATATCTTCTTGGTACGTGTCCATTATCTCACTAATAAGGAAAATATCTTCTTGGTACGTGTCCATTATCTCACTAATAAGCAAAATATCTTCTTGCTACTTGTCCATTATCTCACTAATAAGCAAAATATCTTCTTGGTACGTGTCCATTATCTTACTAATGAGCAAAATATCTTCTTGGTACGTGTCCATTATCTTACTAATGAGCAAAATATCTTCTTGGTACTAGCAGAAATTCTCATAACGTCATGTCCGTATACATGTGATGTGCTAACGACCTTAAATATGCGCTGTAACGATATCAGCGTATCACGATTACTGTTCAATCAAGATGAATAATCTCATGAGTAAGGATTTTAACCCTCTACCGCCGTGTCACTCTCTGGGAAAATAACTTTGAACTGAAATTATACGGAAACAATTGAGTGTAGCAACCTGAGGACGTTTGCACGCAACAGAGAACATTTTAAAGTTGTCGTAGTGGCGGCAACCATCAGTTCAAGTCATTTTGCGCTCACTCGCAACGTATCCTTTTTTGGGTAGTAGACTTGTGACAATATTGCTCCGGTTACTCGTGTCAGGCGGTAGAGGGGTAAGTACTAAATTCCCCATCGCATATCTATGGGATTTAACTTTTGAACTTCATACGGTGGTGAGTAAAATTCAAAGATACATGCTGGATTATGGAACATATTTTGTTGATCTTCGTCAATGGAAAAATTCCTTGTGACTATTTATTTGATCTTGCTTCAGGCTAATGATTGTAAAATAATGTAATCTAGTAAGTATGCAGCAGTTTTATCTATACGAATTCAAACAGAGTACGTCTATTTATGAAAGTAACTAAAAACGGCGTCTTGTAAGAACATACCTACATTTCATCATAAATTATTGCATCATAGTTGCTTCAATTATTTATTAGTACGCATGGCTCGTGAATTATTAAGAATTGACGTCCGTACACCTTTGAATTCGTAGTTTATACAACTGTACGCCTGGGCTTTTGTAGTTTCCTCAAATATTTATATTGCTCGTAGCATCTAAGCGATTTCTTGGAAGACCATCCCAGTACAGCACTCAAGTGAACGCTACCTACATCGAACTCGAAGGTAAGGGTTGAACTAATATTAGTTTCTATATGTATTAAACATAGATGGTGTGCAGATATTTATCCTTGTTATAAGCTCATGACATGGAACGAGGAAAAGTATACTAGGTAAAAATTGACACGTGTACTTTTGCAGCCGGGGAATGCTTTTTCATGGAATGCACTTACTGAGATACTAAGTATAAAACAAAAGCTCAACAAGAAACCTTTACACAGCGTATACAGATTAACAAACTGGTCATAGGGTTGCGCCAATAAGAAATGTTGAAGCTACAATCATGCACAATAATTTGTATAGTTAGATAGGAGTTATTCATTTGTGCATGTGTCATTGAATAAATTATTGTGCATTTTGTCGAACAAAAGTTTAGCTGTCATTGGGAGAACAAAAAGCAGATTATCGAATGACATTTTAATAGAACACTTAAAACAAATACACTTGAAACTTAATAGAACACTTAAATTTGAAGCGTATTGAGTAAAAACAATTAGTACATTGGTTACAGATGGAAACATGAAACTCAAAATTACTCGGAAACTAATTTAAACGTCCTGAAGAATTCGGTGGCTTGTGGTTGATAGCTGGCAATTCCTTGCTTTTGAGGCATTTAGTTATCGCCAGTCTTGAAGCGTCGGGGCACTGCATGATGATGCTGGTGCAGGCCTCCAATGTCGCGGAGTGACGGTCTCGCTGTAAGCGTCTTTAATGCGGTTCTTTCGCCATCCATATTGTAGCGGCGTGTGAGCGGGCAAGTCGTTGCAGTCAAACAAATATACTTTGTTATAAATAAAGAAGTGGAGAGCCAAAGAATCGCATAAGGGAGTCCCATAGCGAGACACTCAGTCCCGACACATTGGAGGCCTGCACCAGCATCGTCAAGACTGGCGATAACTGAAGCTCTCATTAGCAAGAATGAGTCGCCAGCTATCAATCTAAAAACCACCGAATTCATCAGGACGTTGAAATTAGTTTCCAAGTAATTTTTAGGTTTGTTTCAATCTGTACCAATGTACCCATTGCAATGTACTACAAATTGAAGTGTTGTTACACCTTTAATTAATTGAAAATTACTATACGTATCAACGCATTATATTAAAATCATTCGATAACCTGCTTTTTGTTATCCCAGTGCCAGCTATAACAAAGCGTAACAAACATACTTGCTCCAGCATATATAGTTGAAACTGAAAGATAATTCTGCACTTTAGTATTTGAATAATTCAAACAGTCGTCAGACTGAAAAGATTTTGTTTTGTATAGAAAAATCGAACATGAAACTTATGCAGACGTCGAGACGGGACTGGGCGACGTTGAAGCAATGAAAGACAAGATATGGCTTTACCAGAAAGCTGCAGGGGCAGAATAACGTAGGAGCAGTTAGTTTATTTTAATTAAACCTAGGACATGGAGGGCTGACCAAAGGCAAGTTAAACTGACGCTGTAGGAGCGTGGCGGGACCTAAGCAGGATTAAGTGTGCGTCAAGCTTATCTGTACAAGGACCCTTAAGTCCACGTCAAGAGTCGTTGTTCTATTGACCGTCACGCAAGCACGGTCTGCAGCTAATTCTGCAGACGTAGACGACGGCCATGGCCGGTATTGACAGCCACTCGAAAGTTCGGGTCATTTATACATTCATACGACAAACCTGTTGCACGAACGTCAAAAGTCTATATAAAAGTAGCAATCTCAATTTCGTCTTATTAGTTAAGGTCAATATAAACACTGGGGCCGCCACTTTGCCGTGAAACCACTCAAGGGACAAAGAGACGTTCAGCGATCTTTAAGCTGAAATTGATATTCGGGTATCGAACACCGCCCATCAATAATATAATTGGTACGGTCCCGATCATCAGCGCTAGTAAGGATATTGACAGTAACTAATACGAGTCGTCGTATGAATGTATAAATGACCCGAACTTTCGAGTGGCTGTCAATACCGGCCATGGCCGTCGTCTACGTCTGCAGAATTAGCTGCAGACCGTGCTTGCGTGACGGTCAATAGAACAACGACTCTTGGCGTGGACTTGAGGGTCCTTGTACAGATAAGCTTGACGCACACTTAATCCTGCTTAGGTGCCGCAGCGTTCCTATAACGTCAGTTTAACTTGTCTTTGGTCAACCCTCCATGTCCTAGGTTTATAGAGAACAAATTAACGGCCCCCTACATTATATTCCCCAGCTTTGTGATCAAGTCATGTCTTTTATCGCTTTATCGTCACCCAATCCCTTCTCAACTTCTGCACACAAATTTTGTTCACTTCATTTATAAAAAATAAATTTGCAATTCCCTGCGCTTTATTCAGATGTCCGGCATGTGAAGGGAACGAAAGGTGCACGGCATCTGTGGTACATTACATACGGCATAATGTTCCAAAAAAATGGTTGTGCTATAACTAGTCAAATTTGCGTTCAGCCACATTACACGCTACAACATTACCTTTCTGCAGGTTTCTAATCCGTAAGATGAAAAAAATGCGCCGTTGAGAGGAAAATGTAGTAATGTCCAGGTACAATTTTGGTTGAAAGTAAAGTGACCTTATTATTAAGAGTAGTTAAATGTTCATAACTCCCTCAACCTATCACTGCTCAAAGCTGATCCCACCAATCAGACGAGTAGCCAGACGCTTCGAATACCAAGGCGAGTTTTAATAATAAAGCTCCTGGTAGTGAGGCTTGCTCTCCTCATCACTAAAACCAACAAAGAAACCCTTTAAGCCTGGATACCGCGAACTATAAAATTTGGCCGACTTGTGACCTAGTGATTAAAATGAAAGTCAAACATCCAGTTGGCAGGTGTTTAAATACCGGCCTGGGAGAATGAACTGTTCAGGCCACCAGCAACTTGATCATAAGATTATCAAGCTTGTTAGATACTTTGGTGGCCATATGTTTACCATCGCTTCAAATATTTAGCTACATAAGATTATTAAATCGGTGATAAAAATCGTCCCGAGAACGTGGAAAATTCAGTGTATCTCAGGACAATAGAGGCACGTTAGACGAAGCATCTGTAGAGAAATGCCTACACGAAAGCTAAATATTGAACAAAGCAAGCACTACGTAGCCAATGCTTCGAAATAAAACCTTTAAGTTAGGGCATTATGAAAATAAAATTGTTCTTACAGAGAAACAAATTACCGCAAGCACTGATATCACACCATGGAGGCCTCTGAATTGAAGTGACACTTGTATCGTTAGAAATCGATCATTAAGCAACGAAAATCCTCCATTCAAAAACCAAGAACTTCATCTACCTATTTCGAGGAGAAGTCTTGCACGGAAGAAATCGTTATCAACATTTGACATAGGTAGTTTGACTTGAGAATCACGTTAACACAAGCAAGCGTTAACGTTTTGTGGTTGTTCCGACACACTAATCAGTTCTGTACGCTTATCCTGTAGTACTGTTGGAAACAGTGGCGGAATTGTCAGTTATGTATCGGCTTGTTGTGAATCATAAATCAGTTCTATAAGCCAGTCCTGTAATAGTGCAAAGACGTAATTATGAGACAAGTACAGGCTGAATATGAGTTATGTATCGGCTGAATGATCAGTTATGGATAGACTCGTTCTAACATGCACATCGGTTCTGTAAGCCAATCCTAAGTAGAGCGTGAAACAAGGATTACTTTACAAGTTCAAAATCAGCATCAGTACCGTAACAATTTGCTTGAATGTTCAAGGCCATCGAAAACATCAACAGAATTTCGGCTCAACCGAGACACGAAAGCGTCGACGAGTTATAAGCAGGAAAAATGTTTTACGGTAATTAAACTGAAAAATGTTTTACAGTCGTTAAATTGAACATTGTTTTGCATTAATTAAACTAAGTTATAAAATAAAACGGAAAAAGAGAAAACGATGAAATAAGGACAGCTATTGCACATTCACCGCAATACACCAACACAACTGGTGAACAGAAACGGATTTCAGACACAAACTGAATCATTACCGACTGAATTTGTTATGCAATTTTGCTAACCTGATTCAACGTACCATAATCTTTGTCTACAAGGTCTTCCGTCACAGAGTGTCTTCATTTATTCATGCAAGTCGCAACCGTAGAGAATACTTATCACTGGTAGTTTACGTACAAATTACACCAAAATTGCAATCAACACACAGGAATTTCATTCAGAGTGACGGGAGAACTTGTCTGCAGTAGCAGAGTTGGTGCGCGTATTACATATTCGCTCATGACCATCTTGTTACAAAGACAATTTTTATGTTACCATTTTGTTAAGTCGCCATGTTTCAATTCATAGCAGGATAACGTAGTCATTTGTTGTTCATAACAGAATATTAAATTTCAGTTCTCATTAGATGCAGTAATAAAATAATATAATCACGCCTCTTTTTCGTTTATGATTCAAATGAGTCGCGAAATAATCAGGAAAACGTGCGAAAACGGACAGAAAAATAAATCTAAAATCCTGAATAAATGGAAAACAGCGATGCAAATTTTCCCTTCAACTTTGGATCTCTTAAGGATTCGAGTAGAATAAATTGCACACGACACAAATATGATGAAGGAATCGCAAGGAAATAAGGACATTATGAGAGCTTAACCAAACAGTGAAGGAGGATGGAACTTAAATATTAGTTCATGAGTAAAACTTGCTCAACGATAATGAGATGGGAAAATTAACGCGAACAAAATCAGAAAACATAGATAGAATTAACAATTGGTTTATATATACTTATCAATTAGAATATAATTTCGGTACGGACTAGAAGTTATTCTCTGGTTCACAATTGGAGTTATGACAACGACAAGTCACATAACAAATAAGGCAATGAAGAATACAGTGAAACTATCATATTTGAGAACAATTGAGATAAGATATGACTCTAAATGAAAATAAAGAATACAAATTACATTATTCGGCAGCTTTTTTATGCAGTCATAACGCTATCAATGTGATACTTCAATTGAACAGATACCTACATTGAAATTCGGTTTACCGTTATATAAAAAGTACTAACAGTGTTATGATTTATAAACACTTTGTACTACATCATTTCAAAAAGTTCTAATTAATACAAGAATATTTACAAGTTTTTAATTCAGGAATAAGTTGTTGGTCAAAAAGATCATCTTAGGTCCGTGATTTTAACACGACAGTAGAACGTCATTTGAAGTCTGCAACTGGAATCGTTGTGTGGTTTATTGCCGAGTTATTAATTTTTGTTTTCATTTGTTCAATCAGAGTTATTCGTAATTTTTTTCGCATCTAATTAAGCCTAAGATAATCAACTAAGAGAATCTACTCATATTCAGTTAATGAAGAAGCTGCAATTCAACAAACCCTATCATGAACATTAAAACATTGATGAGCCATAGAAATTACCAGCTGCGATTGAAAGCTGCCCCAAAAATAAGCAATAAATGGCAATAGAAAGTAGCTCTAAAATGAGATTTAGGTAAATAAAATAAAAAATTTATAGTCAAACGGTAGAATACCGCACGTAGAAGTTTAGATAGCAGGCGCTCATCAAATAACATTCAGTTCAATCAGCATAAAACATGTTACTGAACATGAGAGGTAATAGCTCGTCGCTGATAACTGGAGGATTGAAAATTTTTTAACATTCTAACTTATTTGAAATTCGGGAATCAATATTAAAACTTTTCAAAAACCATATTGAAACGCTTCTTTTATATAGAGCAAGTCTATAAAATATTATTAACATACAATATCTAAACGGAAGGCAGTGAGTGAGATCACGTTTTCCAGCCTTTCTTGCTCTTGCACTTATCATTATAATTTATAATAAATAATAATTTATTTTCTTTAAAGTGATAATAATACGACACAACGATTGTGAATTTGGCGGAAAATTGTACAAAGTTGCCCTTCCCGTATTATTAAAATTACTTCCACGAAATACCATAGTGTTTAAAACGAATCAATACTTTTGAATACACAAAAAATTATTATTTAAAAAATCAGATGCACCATGACAGATCAGACACCATCAGATGTTTGTGAAAAATAATGACCGTTGATTGCAAGTTTGTAGTAAAACAAACAAACTAGAGACAAAGATGTAGAAATGCTCAAATTTTCAAGGATAAACAATTTGTATAGGCGATAATATACGAGGCACATAGAACACATGATGACTCAAACAAAATTAAAAACTTACGGTATATACAAATTCAAAGAAGTGACCAGAGAAAACAGCCGACAAATTGCTCGATCAAAAACTTACGCTATTATTGAATGAAATAACTTTATTTTCATAAAGAGTCCCTTCAATTCATGGTAGTTTTAATACTCGAGTACACTAACTATATACTCAAATTGACAAGTTATTTTACTAAACGAGATTTTTATAAAATAAATGTAAAATCTAGTGGAATTTGAGACGTACAGATTGACATTCAAGATACAAAATAGCGATACACTTCTGAGATAACAAGTTCAGGCGTTGTATTGCACTCGAAGAGTCTGTAGAAATATCTAGACACCACAACAATCAAAAGCGATTTTGTAATCGTACGGTGTAAAATATCAATTTTGAATTAATAAAAGTGAAATTGCACATATGGATAATATAATCAAAAATCAAAGGCTAGAGAAAATTTGGTTCCGTTGCTTGAGCCAATTTTCATAAAGTAAAATTAATTACTGTAGCATAAGTAAGAATTGGAAGATGAAAGACAGTCTGGTGCAGAGTTTGAGATAATTAGCATGTAACTGTAGAGTATCAGGTTAAAAGATAAAAGATAATTGCGAGATAATTAGCTTGTAACCATGAACTATCAGTTAGTATCAGAGGGCATTAGCAGAAAGAATAGGCATGCATCAGCAAACATCACAGATCATCACTGTGCATCAGAGAACATGATGCATCAGAGAACATGATGCACCAGAGGACATGATGCATCAGAGAACATGATGCATCAGAGGACATGATGCATCAGAGGACATGATGCATCAGAGGACATGATGCATCAGAGGACATCATGCACCAGATGACATGATGCATCAGAGAACATGATGCATCAGAGGACATGATGCACCAGAGGACATGATGCATCAGAGAACATGATGCATCAGATGACATGATGCATCAGAGGACATGATGCATCAGAGAACATGATGCATCAGAGGACATGATGCATCAGAGGACATCATGCACCAGAGGACATGATGCACCAGAGGACATCATCATGCATCAGAGGACATCATGCATCAGAGGACATCATGCATCAGAGGTTGAGGGAGAGGCCCATCTTAGCGGCCAGGACGGCGTGGCTGGTGCGCGGGTGGACGGCCGGGCTGAGCAGCGGCCACATTTCCGCTAGCGCTGAGGCCACCTGCACGGAGGACAGAGCATTACCCTCATAAGCCTCACTCGTTACTGCCTGCCTCACTCATCACTACCTGCCTCACTCATCACTGCCTGCCTCACTCATCACTACCTGCCTCACTCATCACTACCTGCCTCACTCATTACTGCCTGCCTCACTCATTACTGCCTGCCTCACTCGCAACAGCGCAGGCTGAGGTCACTAGATTAGGTACTAGTTTTGAGCCCATGACAATTGAAACTCAGTGTCCATCTTGCTGCTCTTCCAAGCCTCTGACATCCTCGTCTACACTCAGAGTTCGCAGTGGCAGGAGGTGCAGGGCAGCGTACCTGCACAAGGCACAAGAGTACCTGGAGGGTGGCAGTGCTGGAGAGGCAGGCGCGGCACAGAAGCTCCGTGACGCCTTGCACAAGACGTGCCACGCCATCAGGGCACAACCGCAGCAGCCACTCGCCATTCTGCAGCAACTGTAATAAACTAATATGTGTAAGGGCTGTAAAAAAGCACATTTGAGGGAGCTGCAACAAACACACATGTCTGCCAAGGCTATGACAAACAATAAAAATATGTCTGCCAGGGCATAATAATTTGAGCCTATGACAGTATGTGCTTTCGAAATACAAGCAAATGGACACCTACTAGTGAGCTCTGCAGCCAGTTAATTCTTGGTTATGCAGTACCGTAGCTCTACCAAAAACATCAAGATGTATGAGTAAGCTAAATTTAGTTTATTATCAACACTGGTTAACCTAATTTATGAAAAAAAAAACATTTTAGTATCATAACTATGGGAAGGTACCAAAGTAAAAATTATCATAATATATATTTTAGATAGAATATTGTAAATATTCACTAAGCAGCTAAGGTGATGTAAGAAACCATAACGATAAATATTTCCACTGTCACATCTGAGTACAGGTAGCAGGTACCGGTACTCATGAAGAAGCATCAGGGTAAACAATATATGGATGGAAGGCCAGAAACTTCATATTATTGATAGCATACATATTAAATAGGTATGTTAATATGCATGCCAATAGCAATTGATATATCTTAGTAAGTGCATCAATTACCACTAAATATGCAGAAAATGTTTCTCACCTGCCTAGCAACCACCATGACATCTTCATCTAGCTGCTCTGCCAAGCTTCTGACATCCTCGTCTACACCTGGACTCTCATGCATGTCAGGTGTTATGTCTTGGTCTACATTTACTCTGCCCTCATTATTATCATCATTAAAATGATCATCATCATGATTTCTAATATCAAATTCATCATAGTTTTCTCGTTCATTACAGGTAACCACATTTCTGTCATCTAGATCATTAACAACATTTCCATCATTTGACACAGTAGAATTTACAACACTTTCATTTTTTGGCACACAATCTTTGGTTTCAGTACAAGAATTGCTTTTGCTGGCTAGTGGATCGTAGTGTACACTATTATCTTTCTTTCTAGGGTTGACTGATTCTTCATTTCTAGTAATATTATCCATTTTTGTTGCATGACTTTCAGAATCATGGGAAATATCAAGTTTTTCAAGGAGTCTCGTAGGTGATGAAATGTTCTGCTTCTTACAGGAATGTTGTGATGCTGGTAAATGATGTCGATTGAGCGTATGTGGCTGCATTAAATATTTCTGGAGAATTTTATCAAGCATCATCACTAGGGGTTGGGCTAAAACCTGTAAATACAAATTTATTTCATAGACTAATAATGTTACACAGTCAAGCATAAATTTAATCAGACAAATTAATAGTTGACATTTTTTTTGATAATGAAGCTTATCATTACATACATTATTACTTGGCCAATGCAAAATTTGTCAAGGAATGATAGAAATATTTTCAGTTCAAAGCTTATATATGGTATGTACGTATATGACTAGACTAAAACCTTAAAAAATTGAACTGACTGCAAATGGTGACCCTGATTCGCTCTTGACATAGTAGAAAAGCTCTCCCAAGAACAATGTCCCAGTGACAAATTTTTTGTGGTCAGTTTTGGAAAGTAAGTCATGTTCTGCAAAAGAGTGATAATAATAAAGAAATTTTCAATGCAATTTCAATAGATAATCTAGCATAAATAAGGTAAATTTGCATGAACAAGAATACATGGATAAAAATGCATTAAATATGTCAAGCATAAAAGCAAGAATTAGCTTCAAGTTTAAAGAGGTAATAAGTTATATTTTAACATAAGAATGGTTTATTCATTATAACTGACCATCATATAAGCTTTGGGCAGTCCTGAACAAGAGACTTCTCATTTTAGTTGCTCCCACAGCATGAGTTGCAGTTTCTCTGCACACAGCAGCCACTACACTTGCTGCTCTACGGTTGCTTGAACCTGCACTGCAGATCTGGGTGCAAAGCCACCTGTAAAAACACAAATAATTCCACATGTCACTGTTTGTTACACGAGTGTAAATACATCATATTTTGAACAACATATCATATGCTTCACTATTGCAATAGTAAGTATCATGCAGTTGGACAAATTTTGTAGAAGAAAAATAGCGTGATATTGAACAAAATTTCTTTATCAATGACACAGAGATGACTTACTTATAGTCCAACTCATTACTAATGGATCTTATTTGAGCAGCTAGTGTATGAACATCCAAGTCATCTGGAGACTGAAGGGATAAAATTGCCTCAGCTAGATCAACTATGCGCTGAGATACAGGTCTATTCAGTCCATTTTCTTCAATAAATGGCCTTGCAATGACTTCATTTTCACAATCAGTTTCTTTGGCAGAACTTTGAGTATTATTGCTCACTGTCTCTTCATCTAAAACCTTTCCATAAGAATCACAATATTCAGTCATGGCTTAAATTCATAAATTGGAAGCAGAAGCTTATGTTGAACTTCACTTTTTAAATGCCAGAAAGGCAAGGAAGACCTGGAAAGAAAAATAATAAGGAATTGTGGAAATGGACACTTCTCAAGTCAAGCCCTACAAGCTTACTTAGTATACCGTCGACCGGGGCTACTCGGGACTGGCGGGGCGGGGCTACTCGGGACAGTCCTCCGACACAGCGTAAAACAGTTATAGTAGCAAAACAAATTGGAATATTGCAAAACTAAATATAGTGGCGTTGTTATCGTGTGAGTCTCAGCGCACCGCGAGGAGTTGCAATTTATCCCCTCTTATAACAGGAAGGGCCACGACAACGAGAATGAATAAATATTTGTGGAAGCGCTAATTCTTGTCTAAATTTAAGGTTTGAAAGCTTTAAGGTTTTACATTTTATTAGGAACAATATCAAATGAACAAATTAAGATTTGAGGTAGGCAAAAATAAAATCCAAAAATCACTAATAAGGGAAAGAGCACAGGCCGGGTTAATGTGGACTTGACATTACCGTGCCAGCTGTAACAAATAAATGAAATTAATAAAATAGCAAAGGATGTATAATTTAAGAAGCTGTGATTGAAATGATTAATTAGTAATCAAGCACTGCAGGGTAAAGTGAAGGCAAGGGACTTATCAGTTAACGTCAACAAAACAAGCAAGGGATATCATCATAATTAAATGGAGTCAAAACAAGTTAAGTAACCAAAGAACCAAAAGGGTTTGCAAGATGAACACAGTTAAAGAATGCAATAACAGACTATTAAGTAAGTAACGTTGACTAGTTGTTTAAAATAGGGAAGATGAGAAAATGCAGTAGTACTGAATGCAATGAATCAAAGAATCATAATAAATCAAGAACCAATGCATTTTTTACAGAAAACACAAGTAAATTAAAATGCGGACAAAACATATATATATATACAAGGGTGAACATTCACTAACCAGCATGGCTAAGCACGAGTGGTCAGGACTGTCAGACCGCTCTGTTACACAGCTGAGTGTCATTCATTGGGCTCAGCTTATAGTTAATGAATCTCTGTAACAGAGACTGAAACAGAAGAGGACAAAGACATTGAGGTGAGGTAAAAGCAAGGCCGGAGGCAAATAACAAGGATAAATAAGTACAGATAGGCTGTGCTACACAAGCCACAAAAGCCTCCCGGCAACAGCGTAAACATCAACATTTTTCCTATCTAAGTAGTATAAAGGAAGTCGAAAAATACTACATTTACTAGCTTTAAAAAATTCCTGGAAAAAATGGTGAAAAATGCTATTTTGAAAAGTTACTTCTGCTAAGGTCTGTAGCAAAAAAAAAATATTCGCTGTATTAAAAAATTGTACTTACATAAAAGATGCACCTAGGTGTCGGCTTGAAAACGTAATTGACGGAATTGTCCTATCTCATACAAAAAAAAATGGCGGCCATTTCCGCATGGCGGGGCTAGTCGGGAGTCGGGACACCCCNCCCCCCCCGGAGCTATTCAGGACACACCCAAAAATGCATTTACAGTAGAACCTTAGTTAGCAAAGGCTCCAGTTGATAAAAAAATGATTAAAAACAAAAAATATTTATTACATTTACCTTGCTAGGCAAAAAAATTTCACTCATCGAAAAATTAGTGCATCATCGGTCATCACAAAATTGTGCATGGAATGTCATATATAGAATTGTCAGGCTGTCTACCATAACTCCCTTACTTGTGTTAGCAGTTACCGTAAAATTGGGTAACTTTGACCATTTTTTTTCGAAATGATGCCATTTTTTTTACTAGATAAGTTAAACTTAAATTGAAACCTGCAAAATACAGGTCTATACTCTAGCTTTACTCACCATAAATTGCTGGCTCCTGCCTCTCATAGTTTTGATGTTATTTAAAAAAAAGTGATGGTCTTTGTTACCCCAGCTCTTGGGGTTTCTTTGACCGGGTGGTAAAATCAATTTTATTTTTTGGTAAAATAACTCCAGGTTGTGTTGCGTTGTAGTAGAACTCTTCTAGTTACATATGCAAAAGGCAAATTTTAGGAAAGTGTCATAGTTTGCAAATGGGGGGCGCCGCCCCTAAATGGGCGAAATGTGACCATCTAATGGCAGCCGTGACGGGGTAACATTGACCGGTTTGGAAATTAAGTTAAAATTACCATATATAAGACTCTGTAGAGTCTGAAACACGGTTTGGAAATTAAGTTAAAATTACCATATATAAGACTCTGTAGAGTCTGAAACATAAAAAAAAACATTAATAGGTGTATCAAACATAAAATATGTTATATAGGTACCTATGGTAATTTTAACTTAATTTCCAAGCCGGTCAATGTTACCCCGTCACGGCTGCCATTAGGTGGTCAAAGTTACCCCTTTGGGGGTGGCGCCCCCCATTTGCAAACTATGACACTTTTCTGAAATTTGTCTTTTGCATATGTAACTAGAAGAGTTCTACTACAAAGCATCAAAACCTGGAGTTATTTTACCAATAAATAAAAAAATTGGAGGGGGTACTCCGACAGGCTTTAAATAATAGCTCTTTTTTGTGGGTCACATTTTTAATTTTTTAACCTATTAGATATGCAAACTTTTTAAATCTTTCTATTGTGTTACGTAGCCTCAGTATTAGGCCTTTGATGGCCATTGACAAAATTCTTCTATGTCGAATCGTTTCTGAGTTTTTGGGGTTTTTGTTAAAAAAACGAAAAGTGGTCAAAGTTACCCCGCCGGTCAAAGTAACCCCATTTTACGGTACTGCGTCACTTCCGTGATGTCACTATAGCATGCCTATATAAGCTCCCTGAACTTTGAGATAATTATATATTATCGGGCCAGTCAGACCAAATCACATACTGACAGAATTGTGCACCAGGCATCATATGATCATACTATGATCATAGAATGAAAAGTAATTGACCTAAACTATGATTAATTTCTCCAAAACATATGATGGTTGTCACTAAAACATTCCTTTCTGTTTCAGGTATGTTTTTCATGATCTTATTTTTAGTAAATTCATTTAATGTAATTAAAATGGTGTGAAATTACAAGCTGTCCTGTAAGCTTACAGATACAGAAAAAATGCTATAAGGCTGCTGATATGAAGCTTGCAGTGGACAAGGTTGTTGTAAATGCTCAATGGCATGTTCATGGATACGGTAATATTCCATCAATTGTAGGGTAAACGCGGTATATTCCATCACATTAAGGACGCATCAAGAAATGAAAAACTATAAAAAAATAACCGTATGCATTACTCAAGTTCTGTTTGCTTTAT